TTTGACCCCCCCCCTTGAGATCTCAGGAACTAAGGAAGCTAGAGACACCAAATTCACAGGGTGTGTTGACCTGTACATGAACTCACTTAGATCCAAGTTTAATGGTCCTAGCTCATGACCTTCGGGTCAAATAAAGTCAAACAGGGTCAATTGCAACGTTGGTAGCTAAAGAGACCCTAGAATCCAGACTTCTTTTCTAAGCAAAAGCTCACATGCTCATCTAAATTCAGCGACCTTGTCTGACCTTTTGAAGGTCATGGTGACCAAAATCATACGACACCACTTGGACTTTTGCATCCGGATAAGCGACAAAGATAGGCAATATGTTCCTGAACACAAAATGTTGACCTGGTTCATTCCAGGTCGCTAACCTGTTTTGACCTTAAAGAAGTATGTAGAAGGTGCATAATGCGGTTCCTGTCATCAATAAATTTGAAATGAGCACCAGGAACTACCTCATGCAGCAAACCCTAACGTAATATAACCGGGTGGCTTTGACCTTGGTCTGACCTTCATACCTGACCTTAGGTGAATGTAATTTGCTCATTCCATCGCTGTGTTGCCTTAAAAAGTATCTCGGAGATGTATGGCTTCGTCTAACACTCCGCTGTTGGATCAGATTGAACTATTTCTTAGAAATTGCCTTCGCTGAAACCATGGCTTGACTTTGACCTGCATCGGTCAGCGACCTTGCAATGCGCATCTAAATTTATGGTGCCAGACGATTTTCTATTTAATTGTCTACAGTTAAACAAAATTTGGCGCGGCTAAACCATGCCGTGGGGAAACCATCCCGGAAAAACCTTCGGGGGTCAATTTGACCCGCACCCGAGCGCGTGCTAAGCCACCTACAAAACTGGGACTGAAATTTGGTGGGGGCTACACATTCATTTCAGAGCCTAATAACGGGTATTGCCGGAATCGTTCACTGTATTGAAAGTGGAATCCATTCATCTGCTGGAGCAAGTGTTGGAATATGTTGTGAGGCTCATAATATAGCTCTGCTTTTGCTCGATATTGCTGCTTAACCAGCGCCTTCTGGTATATGGAAGGTCTGTTATTTTATGTTCTTAAACTTGTGCTGTTCTGCCGTGCCGTGCTGGCTGCGCCGCTCCAACATGTCGCTCTGCGGGCTTGGCTCTGCGCGAAGATCGCTCCCGACTAACGTGCGTGTGGAAAGGTGGCCGAGACGGACGACCGACAAATGTGGCGCACGGAGCACACTCTCTTAGCCCCTGATATCAATGCATCGTGCTTGCACTCGTACAGGCATTCGTGCAATACAAGAATTGAATAGGCTAAGCAACATATTTCAGCATCATCGACAGTTTGTATCGTACACGCAGTTCCCTCCAAACTCTTGGCAACTTAGGTGCAAAACCATAAACCACGTTGCCGGGCAACGCCTCACCGGCGCGCCAACGCCGGCTTTAGTAGCCTGGTTCAAGGCTGGAGGAATACGGGTTGACGCGTGTAAGCTGATTTGAAAGGCATCCGCCCGAAAGGCTCGGAATGCCTACAGGTCTCTATGCACTGTCTAGGGACGAAATTAACCAAGAAAGCCAACTGTCATCTACTGCCACCGGCAGCCATTATGTCTTGGTCACAACCACCCGAAATGGGCCCAATATTCACTTCATCACATGAGTGCAGAGCATGATTCGGGTCATAGAACTGCCAGCGCGACACAGCTTCGCCAGCTTTACATGTGCTAACCTTGGAGGTGACGGGAGACTGGTTATCCGGGGACTCGTGAAAAAAAAACGGAAGAAGCTATGCCAGCTTATGTGTTCATCTGGCTGTCCGCGTCAATCTCCGCATAACATCCGAGCACCTGTTATCTGGACAGAAGTGGTAGTTTGATGGCGGTCTGTTGATTGTGGTCAATTGTTTTTGTTTGTTTTTTTGTGAACGCGTGATGTGTTTCTGGCAATTATGATGCCAGCAATGCAGCAGACCATAAGTAAGTTTTGGAGATAGTACCGTTTTGTAGCATTAGGTGGTTGCATGTGGAGGTCTCGAATAAAGACGGCAGAGGATCGTTTTCTAGCCCATTTTTCATGGAAAAATACCGTATCAAAGAAGGAGCAAGATTGGGCGTTGAAAATCTCGGCCTGCCGCTGTTAAAGGTCAGCATTTATCTGACTGCTAACTTCACGCCAGTCGCTTGCAAACTTCAACACGCTTTACAATTAATTTTGATGCGATGTTGCCCTAGCTTGCGTCAATATCGGTAGCGGTAGGTAGGGGCTGTAGCGATAGTTTATTGTAAGCACAAATCCAGTGATTCTGGAGGTTTTGTTTCCCTTTTGCTGGCTGCGTAGCATTATCACAGACATCTGCGTAACACAATCATAGACATCTGCGTAATACAACAATGTAAACACCTGAGCACCGTGCCCGGTCACCCTACGTACCGCACACATAAGCAGGGTGCGGTCCCAGCATATTTCGCCCGTAACTATTGTCGCACTCCAATTTCCATTTTGTCGCGCAGGTGGCGCAAATGGTAAAATTCAAAACTGCTATTATAAGATCACTATTTGGATAATTAATTGCTCTTTGGACACTATTGCACGGAGAATTAACATGGGCGGGTTTTAATGTTCAGAATTTGCGCACACTTGCGTGCGTCTGATGTAGAACAGTCAGATTCCTACCGCCTGATTTGTCCGTTTGACAGGTCATCCCAGTTTGAGGACTTCATACCATCCCCTCTCCCCGACATAGCCAACATTTCCGCTCAGTCGAAACTCAGTTTACACCATAGCGTCGCAACGGGTGGCACGAGCAAGCTGCGGGCGCCTTTTTTATATTGTTTAGCCCTGTTGTATGCTGCACGCCTGTAGCGATATGAATTTGACATCACTTATACTTACTAATTCACTTATTAACTCATTTCGTTTTTTTATGTACTGCCACAGTAAAGACTGAGGGACGGGTCCTTCAAACTTCCGTATTTCCGTAATTACGACTCTGGTGTTGCATTGAAAGGTCCTTGACTTCCCTTCCGCTCCCATTCACCCCATTTATCCGTGGCGGGCTAATAAAGACCCCGACGTCCCGAAGGCCCAGTCAAAGAGAGCTACAAGCCTAAGGAGGGCGCCCAGACCGTCGGCCCGGGCTGGGCCGAGCTGGGCCGGACTCACCACGTGGCAGTCCGGGTCGGTCATCAGAGGAAGCAGTTAGTTCTGCCTTAATGTGCACATAAGCAAGTGCTAACCATTGCGGTATTTAGCGACCACCACATTTAGCAGAGCCATGCACAGGGCGCCGCGTTTCTGAAGGAAAGTATGGCAATGAAAACTCTGCCTTCGAAAATTCAACATCGTCAGCCAAATCCGTCGGAAACTACAGTAACATTCAACTTCAAAGCTGTAACCCGCTGTTGGTCTACAAAGACCCGCCCCCTGAGCGAGGGCGAAATGCCAGTAATAATGGCAACCAGACATGAGGCATACTGGTTGTCCCCAAAGAACGCATATTTTGCAAAGAAGGCTCATATGTTCAGTTTTGGGCCATTGCGCCTAAATCTTAAGGTCTATGGTTTCGTGTCCGAATACAAAAGCTCACAAATTAGATTAAACCTAGGTTGAGGCTCAATCCATTCATGCATTGAGTCGGTTTTGGAGATTTGTGTGAAGGACTGAAGGTGAGCCCATTCGATTTAAGATCGATTGGGCTGAGCTGGTCCGGGAAATCAGCCAAACACGCTTTAGAAGTAGAATTTATGAAGCTGGCCAGTCCAAACAAATTGAGATTTACTAAACACTGCCTGAGAATGTCAGTTTTAAAAGGCATGCTGTTCATGTGAGTCATGCGTCACGTCAGGTTTGATTGGGTTGAAGTTGCATTAACTGATGACGATCATGATGGAAGTTATTTTGTTTTCTACATATGATTGGTACTTGAGATTTGAACAAAAAAGTCTAATAAAGAGTAGATGTTGGACTGAAATTTGAAAATTCGTACCGCAAAATGCAAGCAATTTACTTTTAGAATCGCCTACGCTACAAGTTGCCAACTGCACGTCTGTGTGCCTTCACGTGTTCCGCAACTGCACGTGCAACGCAGACCGGTTAGCGTCGATGTCACAGTGACCACGAATTGGTCAACATTCAGCACTGACAAAAAATAGTTAAATCTCCGATCAGGCATCAAGGTGACCCTTCTGAAAGTAGCCGCTCTGGCATATGCAAGAGGTCCGTGAAGTTAGCGATTTATTAACGATGTATTTAGCGATGAGCCTCAACGTCAATGATACCGACTCAGCACTGAAATCGAAGCTCGTCGCTAAATAAATCGCCAGCTTCAAGAACGTATATGAAACGGACAGTCTGGTACGAATTTTGACAATGCAACCATATCCTTCATTCTCATTCCAGGTCCGTCCAGTTTATTTGAAATGGATCAGAGATTTTATGGGCACAAGAGACACGTTTTTTTGCATACTGGCATTAATTTTTGGCTGTGTTCGAACCATTTCACTGGGGTTCCAAGGAGTTCTGAATGTTGCCTAACGTTTTCGGCAATGAAGCACATGCTTATCTCCCTATGTAAACAGGTCTTATGGTGCTGGCACTGATTCGCGTTGCAAGAAATGTGTCCAGGCAAGCATTTCTCATCGCAGTACTACCTAACCAGCACCGTCTGAATTTACTCAGAACCCATGCCATTGGTGCATTGGATGTGGCACTTGACACGCGCTATTGCTCATCACATATTGACTAAGCCAAGGGAAGTTTCTAGTCATTTCATATATGGATGCAAAGCAACGTATTATACTATTCTTAGCTGCGAAGTTATCAAGGCCAGCACTGCTATTCTGCTAAAAGAAATGTGACGTAGCCATCCCTACCCTACCGTGCGTGCTTCCTTAGCCGGCAGCTTTTGAAAAAGTTCGTAAGCACCGGCAGCTGTGCCCTTTGTCCGAGCTGCCGACGTGCCCGGCGGCCGGTGAGCCCGAGCCTGAGTGTGTGCGTCTGTCGTGTGCCGAGCAGGCAGCCGCCGCTTGCGGCTCGCCGCCGGCGCCGGAGACGCCGCAGCGCCGCCGCCGCCAGGTGCCGCTGCAGCATCGGCCGTCGGGCGACCTGGAGCTGGCGCTGCCGCAGCGCCCGGGTCAAGGTGCAGCTGACGACGGCCGACCCCGAGCCAGAGCTCACCAGTGTCCTGCGCCAGTTCAACAGTGAGTCGACAGTCGACAGGCGGCGGCGGGGACCGCAGTGCGGCACCAGTGGCTCATGCGCTGCCAACCCTCGGAGTGCGTAGGAGTGCGGGACCGTTTTGGCCGTGGACTGTGGACTGTGCTGCCAGCTGTGGCCATGTGTCGCATGTGGCCCCCAAACGCTGTGCGACGGTCGCCGGTGTCCTCCGGGACTGTACTGTCAGCTGTGGTCATGTGTCACATGTGGCCCCAAACGCTGTGCGACGGCCGCCGGTGTCCGAGACTGTGCTGTCAACCGTGGTCATGTGTCGCATGTAACGTCCTGCCCCTGCCCCCCCCCCCCCCCTCTCAGCCCCTGTCATGACGGGTGAGGCACAGTTGTGCCCACGAGCTCAATCTGTGGCAGGCTGAGACTGTGGAACCTGTTGCCAGCTGCAGTGTCACCATTCATTTGATACACTCAGCCCTTGCCGTGGGCGTGTCCGACTGCCTCCGGGTCGGTGTTTGGCTCAAGACAGGCTCCGGTCGTTCAGCCTCTGACCGCAACACCCATGCCCCCAGGCGGTGTTTGTGGAGCAATACAGGCGGCTGTTCCACCACCTACCCGACAAACCTTGCAACGAGTGGGCGTTCCACGACCAAGCCGAATGCTGGAACGGTCCGCAACTTGGGCGAGTTGAGTGCCGCCAGCGGCCAGCGCTCTCCCTTTTCGGACACTTCGTCGCATCGCACTCAGTGTGTTGATCGTCCTCCGCATATGCGCGACATCGCCAGTCATATTCGGATCGGTTTCGTCCTGATGCTGTCAGTGTCGCTTCGGATAAATCTGGGGTCCTGACACAACTGGTGCTTATTTACCCATGCTTTTTAAGACAATCGGCATAGTGCCGAAGCGAGCAAAGCCTTCCGCTTCAAAATGGTCTGAACACTATGCTAAAAGCTACGCTGAGGGATTTGGTCAGCCAGCATGTGGACCCACGAGGCTGATGGCGCTGTCCAGGCCAGCCCTGCGATGGCTGCTCCGGCTCGCCTGGCCCGGCGGCTAGCCTGACTGTTCCCCGCACCTCTGCTGTGGCCGAAGTCTGCCGCAGCTATGAGGAGCCTGCTGGCCGGCGACTAGCCTGACTGTTCCCCGCGCCTCTGACTGTGGCCGACGTCTGCCGCAGCTATGGAGGAGCCGCTGGCCGGCGGCTAGCCTGACTGTTCCCCGCGCCCTCTGACTGTGGCCGACGTCTGCCGCAGCTATGAGGAGCCGCTGGCCGGCGGCTAGCCTGACTGTTCCCCGCGCCTCTGATTGTGGCCGACGTCTGCCGCAGCTATGAGGAGCGCTGGCGGCGGCTAGCCTGACTGTTCCCCGCGCCTCTGACTGTGGCCGACGTCTGCCGCAGCTATAAGAAGCCGCTGGCCGGCGTGGGACTGGACTCGCAGGTGTTCAACCCGGAGGTGAACGTGCCGCACATGGCGGAGCCTGTGCTGGAGGAGCAGTCGGACCGCCTAGGCCAGATACAGCAGGTTCGTGAGCCTCACCACCCGCCGCCGCCAGCCGCCGCACTGCGCCCGCCCACGGCCGTGCACCGAGGGCGCTGTCTGTAGGGTAGAGCAGCTGAGGCAGGGCAGTGTCTGTAGTCTGCTCCACACAACACGCCCGGGGCTGCTGCAGTCTGCTCCACATCACGCCCGGCGCTGCTGCAGCGGGCTGCTGCTCGCGGGGGGGGGGGGACAGTGGCGCCGCCGCCACTGCCATGGGGGCCGCTAGTGTTGCCAGTAGGAGATACTGGGTCC